CCCAAATCGGATTAACCGGAAAATAATATCCAAAAAAAGAACACTAATTAGGACCTGTTTAAAATATATTATAAGCGGCTTTTTAATAATGATTTATGAAATACGAGATAAGTATATAAAAATAGTCTTGTCTCAATTTATGTAAACCGTACTCACTCTTAAATAAGAGTGGAAACAGGCGACCTGTCAATAGCTTATATCCTAGTTTGGCCTGTTTCAAAATAGAAAAAAAGATCATGTTTCTTTAATGGCCTATTTAGCCTAAAAGGTCGCTTTTTCCAAAGCCTGTTAAACTTTTCAAGCCTAGTCTGACCTATTTATTTATCTTAATTTAAAATTTTAATTTTGTACTTATATCTAATATTATTTTAAATTTTAATATACACTTATAACTTGTTTTCAATAATATTAACCATAATTAAAATTAAAATATTACTCATGATATTAAAATTTAAATAAATAATAATAAAAATAATTACTATATAGTATGTATATTTTACTCTCTTTTTTTAGCATATGTATTTTTTACTATACATTTTGAAAATTTTAAAATTATAGGCTTTTTTAATATGTTCAAGCCAGGTCTTGCCTTTACACAAGCTAGGCTTAGGCTGAAAAAAGACCTGTTTTACTTGACAGACTCAGACTAACTTATTACTAAATGGGCCTGACCTGTTAAGGATCAAATCTAACTTAACCTGCTTGTTTTCACTCCACCCTTAAACGTAATTCAATAGCCCCTTAATGTTTATGGAGGTGGGGAGCCAAGAAGAAGAGAGGAGGGGTAGTTGGTTAAAACCCTTGCACCGCAGATTGAGGATCCCAGAATAATTAACCACTTTCTTGCTGAAGATCGCAGAGCAACTTGAAGATCCTCTCTTTCTCTTTTTCATGTACCCAATAATGCAAGCAAGTTGAAGATCGCGGGGACGAAGAAGATGGATAGGGCCGCAGGGGATGAGTTGTTTTGTTCACTACTTGCGGGGTTTTGCCGGGGAAGCTTTCTCGTTGTAAACAAGTTGTCCTGTAATTAATGCTCATTCATTTCCTAAATATATGAGTTATCTTTTATATCTTTTATTTGAAAAAAATTAATTTATCTAATTTAATGTTATGTATATGATTAACTTTTTTAAAAAAATCATGTTACTCATTATAATTAATTAATTAGCCCTTACATTAAACACGTTTTAAGAGAAAAAAAACATAGCAACACTAAGCAACATATGCTCACGCTTAGACTTTTGCAACTTAATTCTAAACTGCAATTTAATCGATTCTAATTAAGTACTACTTTATCCAGTTCTTATTATAAGTTTTAAATAATTAATTTATAGATAACAAATAGTTAGTTAAAATTAATTAAAAGTAATAGGTATAGTTTTGTTTCCAAACATGCCTTTTTAATAAATGAGAAAAAAATGAAAGAAAATGTATGAAAAAATGTGATAAGGGAATATGATAAAAGAGAGAAAATAAACCATTAAGGATAAAATTAGAAAAAAAATGAATTGAATGTTTAGACAAATTCTAAATTAAAGCTTGTAAAATAGATCATGCCTCTTTTTAAATTTAAAACTTATAAATAAGATATGAAGGAGTATTATACTTCCTTTATCTCCAAAAAAAGATATCTACGCATAGATTAGAAATTTAATTAATACTTATCCGGTCCTTATTATAAGACCCAATTTGACTTTTTATTTAGTCCTAATTATAAGACCCAATCCATTTTATCTCTTATATTTATGTATTTTTTTCAAAGATAATCCTTCTAATAATGATAGTTTTAGCCAATATACTTAATTAGCAAGGATATTTTAGGAATAACAACACTTATTTATTATAAATAATCAACTTAACTTACTTCCTTAATCTCCTCAAATAAGTCAATTGGGTCTTATAATTAGGACCGGAGGAGTATATAATTAAAACTTATAAAATAGATCATACTTATATTTAAATTTGAAACTTATAAATAAGATATGTGAGAGCATTATACTTGCTTTATCTCCAAAGTAGATATCTACGCATAGATTGGAAATTGAATTTATACAAAATAATACACAGGACAGATAGATATATTAAAACTTGGAATCCACTAAAAGTCTTAGAAATCAGTTGAAGGAGGTTGACTTTAGTGATCCCATCACCATGCACAGTAACCCTAACCAACCATGTCACGTCAGACTTTTTAATCTCTTTTGTGTTTTCAAGTGGCCTTCACGTTTGTGTTTGAAATTGAATTATTTTTAATTTAGGTGAGGGTCGGTTTAGAATGACGGAAATGAAAGGAAAGAATAGAGAAATTTTTTTAATAAATTTGATTTTAAAAATTAAAAAAACAGGGTTAAAAGTTTAGGAAAATTGCAAAAAAAAAAACTTTGAAAATAGAAAAGTTGCAAATAGTGACTTGTTGCAATATTTGTATTTGTTTTGACAATAATTAATGAGTAACTGACAACAATTTTTATGAATAGGTCATTATATGTAATTTTTTAATTTTAAAAGTCTTTGTTTGAGATTTTTTCTAAAACCTTTTAATTAATTTATATTAACTTTTTATATTAGTTTTTCTCTTTATTAAAATTTTAAAATCTCACTTCTCTAATTTTTTAAATAGGACTCATTTAAAATTTTTCTTCTTAATTCTTGACCACCGATATGAAATTTAAATCAATACGCATTAAAATTAAAATATAGATGCCAATACCATCAAACAATTATATGTCAGACCGTTAATAAAATTTAGATTAAATAACTAAGATAGATAAAATCCATCAATTCAAAAGTTTTATGAAAAAAATACTGACATCAAAGGCTAATATTAATTAACAATTTAAATCATATTGAAGTACTCTACTTTTTCTACAATATATTTTCAGCACTGGTAACCTGTTCATTAAAATATTACTTCTCCGGTCCTAATTATAAGACCCAATTGACTTATTTGAGGAAATTAAGGAAGTAAGTTAAGTTAGTTATTTATAAAATAAGTGTTGTCATTCCTAAAATATCCTTGCTAATTAAGTATATTGGCTAAAACTATCATTATTAGAAGGATTATTTTGAAAAAAATGCATAAATATAAGAGATAAAATGGATTGGGGTCTTATAATTAGGACCAAATAAAAAGTCAAATGAGGTCTTATAATAAGAATCGGAGAAGTAATATGTATGCGACCGTACACACATATATATTTATATATTTATATATATTGGCATGGAAGTCAGGAGAAACTGAGCCTAACTGTCATTTTGTTTTTTTGACCAGCAAGCCTAACCGTCACTGTTCATATTAGCCGCATCTATTTAAATTAGTTTTGGGCTTTTGCAGACTTTTAATTCTATGTTAATCTTATTCACTAAATAGAATTTTTTAAAAATATAACAAATATTAATATTCCTCCAATCTTAAATATAAGACATATTTTGTAATATAATTTACACTACAAAAATATTAATATTATTTGAAAACCGGGTAAGAAGCAAGAACTTAACCTCCACGCGCAGCTTTAGCCGGAAAGAATAACACATCTAACTTGTGAATGGAGATCCTCTCCTTTCCTCACTTTTTCTCTTATTTTCTTCTCTTCGTTTTTGAATTCAAGAACTAAATCGTTGATGTTTAATAAAAAAAAATTAAATTGTTAAAATTTTGATCTGATAATTCACAACGACAAACTACTTGAAAATATAATACTCTTCCGATCCTTAATATATAACCCAATTATTGAGTTGGTTTTAATCCTAAATATAAAACCTATTTCTCATATTTATTAATTTTTTCTAAATTACTTTTATAGATACTTCTTCAACCACAATCAAATAGAATATAAAAGAGGTATTAAAAATGATGATTATAGAATAGTATTTTAGGAAAAATGTATCACATTTCTATAGTTAAGTAATTTTTTATAACTTTTTTAATATAACCAAATTAATTAAATAAGTTTTATATTAACGAGAGAGGGTATTAAACATCGATCGTTCAAATAGGGCACAGTTTCGAGATGACAATTCAGGGCTCGCGCGGTGAATAAATAATCTATTATTAATAAGAAACGATGAACGAGCTGTGGAATCATTATTGTATAGTCTTATTCTCTCCGTGGATGGCTCCGCAGAGGAAGGCGATCTCGTTCATGTTTGGACCAACCCCAACTGTGGGGGATCATAATAATTCATAGTTGGGCATCAAGGCATGGATTTCATTTTAGTTTAGACGCAAAATATCACATAAAATTTTAATAAAAGACTGACAATTATTACGTAATAATAACCCAACAAGAAAGAAGAATGTCTCTATTTCACTTCCTCTCCACTTTCCTCCATTTACTATTTCTATTATTAAATCAACATTCAAACTATAATAATAATGTATTTTTTTATGGGAAATCAAAATTAATTTGAAATTTTTGTGCCAAACATGAAATAATCCAAAAATGTGGCGCTGCTGACGTATAACATGGAGGCGACGAAGCTGCCTCCAGGGCAGCATTTTGTTTACGGGGGATAAGAAGAGACGTAGAGAAGCTAAATTAATATGTGAGGTTGTGTTAATTATTTATTGAGCTATTGATTAGAATAACGACAAACCCATCATCAACACCTGTGTTCTATACACCTAATAAATTTTTATGCATAGAAAATATTAATACTTTATAAAATTTATATGCATGGACTACCGTAATTTTGATTTAGAGCACTCTCGCTCATAAAATTTTTGGGGAAGACTTCTCGCAATTTCCCCGGAAAAGCCGCATTTCGCAGTTGGGAATGTCCCGTGAATGTTTTATTTTATTTATTTTTATTTTTTCATGAAAGCAAGTTTATTGTCGATGACAAGGGCGGGGACCAGCAGGGATCCACTGTCCTCTCGCGCATCAGTTCTATAAATGAACCCGAATTGCTTTTGTCAAAAAAAAAAAAAAAACCGAATTGCTTTTATCATAGCCAGTTTCGTGGATGCCTATGTGCTCGACTACTCGCCCAATGGTTCTCTTCTTCTGTGGCTGATAGGTGACAATTACGTTGCTTGGAATTTGGGCAAGAATCTGTTTTTTTTTTTTTTTGGATGCAGAAGCCGATTAATCAAGCATCAAGAAAAGTATAAATAAACCGGAAGAGAAGCGGTTCACGTCTGCACTTAGTCCTAAAGGCTGGGTCGACAGGCCACTGTATTTCGGAGATTCTTTTGCTTCTTCTCCGGCGAAGGAACGGGAAAGTGCAGAGCCAGATATGGCTTCCTGGAATTCCGGTCCACTCGAACTCACGTACGAACTACTGGGTTGGTTCGCTTTTTCCTGCTGGTCTATCAGTTTCTACCCTCAAGTTTTCTTAAACTGTCGCAGGAAAAGGTACCCAAAACCAAAATTTCTCATCTTCTTCAACCTTATATTTTCTCGACTGTCTTCAAAACAGCCATCGCTGATTTTCATCCTTATTCTTTTGGGTTGGTTTTCTCAGTGTTGTGGGGCTCAACTTTGATTTTGTGCTGTTGAATCTGACGAAGCACTCTTCCTATCTGATCTACAACGCGTCTATGTACTTCAGTTCCGCTGTTCAGAAGCAGTATTTTGAGGAATACGGTTATGGAGAGGTCCGATCTATACTTTGATCCAAGTTCTGGACTAGAGCATCCATATTGAGTAATACTAATACTATGTCTCATGAGGGAAAATGAAGCTCCTACACCTAATTATCATGGCTTATTTTTCAGACCCCGAGCGATTCAAATGATCTATATCTAGTTTTGACTATACTTGGTCCTTGGTAGATAAATTCATCACCGGTTCCTGTGGTTCCCCTCTTCTTTTGGGGACAGAGCGCTGGTTTCCTGCTCAATTAACTCGTAATCTTCTGATGAAATATCTAGAAGTCCCCTGTTATTCTTTTCGCCCCCATTTCCGTTCTTAGCAAATTCTGCTCAAGTTTCGTAAATGGAATTACTTTTAGTTTTAGTTTAATGGAATTTTAAACGTAGTTAGTCTGTGTGTTCTTTCTCTTGTTTCCGAGACAATGGTCAAAAAGTAGGTGGTCAGCTTAGCAGTAACTTTCCAAATGTTTGAAAATGGTTTTACTTTTGTCTGCCGCAATCTGCATGTTGTTGGGATGCCAGCATCAAGTTGATCGAACTTTTTATTCGGAGGATTTCTCTGACGTGATATTTTATATCTGTATTTTAGATGATACCAGTGGCTGCAAACGATGTTGCTTTTTCAGCCCATGCCGTGCTATTGACTGCAGTTACCTTGTTCCAAATTTTAATCTATGAAGTAAGTGGTGGAATTTATTATTGTTGTTTTTGCTTTATCGGTTAAATTCCGAATTGCCCTGAACGCAGTAACTTGTCCATATAGCGAGGAACTCAGAAACTCTCCAAAGTTGCTATTGGAATTGTCTCGGTAGTATGGCTTACTGCTGCAGTTTGTTTCTTCATTGCTTTGCGTCATCACTCCTGGCTTTGGCTTCTCTCCTGCTTCAAGTATGTTGATTCAGCTCTATGGTTTCTTTGCATCTGTGCTTTTTTATGCAGAAACTTTCATTTTTCCGTACAAACACTTGATTTAATACTGTTAATCCTTAAAGAGTTTGTTGCCAATTTACCTGGGACCTACGTTTATGACCCTGTATTTTGTGCTTACGAGAACTGCACTTAGATATGGCTCCTTTTGCCAATCTTGAGATCATTACATTTTTTTTTTTTAACTGCGATGGCGCATCATGAGAAAGGTTCTTTTTTCTCCTCTCACCACTGATGATTTGGTGCGTTCTGTGTTTATGTAGAATTGTGATTTATGACCTTAGACATATGGGACCATTGCCCTTCCCTTCATTTGATGCTTAAATATCTATTTGTCTTTTTTCTTTTTTGTTTTGTCATTCATAAGATGTTTCGGTGGAAGCATGGGATACATTCAGTCCACGATGTTTAAACACTTGATATCAATATTGCTAATCCTTTCTTAATTTGTTGCCAATTTACGTGGGACCTATCTACTATATTTTGTGCTTAGAATAACTTTATATAGATATAGCTCCTTTTTCCATTCTTGAGATGATAATAATTTCTCTTTTACCTACTCGATGCTGGCACATTAAGAGGAAGGTTCTTTTTCTTCTCTCCCTTGCCAATTGGGGTGCTAATCCTCTATTGTTAATTTTGTAAATTTGTACTTTAATTACTGAAGATCAGGTTGGTTTTGCGGTGTAGTGTGGTTATGACCTTGGATTATATAAAGGACCACGGCCCTGCTCTTCTTTTGATGTTTGAATTATCTATTTATTTACTTACTTGCTCTGCCACTCATAAGATGCTTTAGTTAAAGCATGCATGGGATTGGATGTTCCTCAAAAGATGATTATTCAGCAGAAGACATCATTTGTTCTGTTTCAATGTTTTTGCAAGGCCATGAACCTTGTTGATTGCTCTTCATCATGGCCTTTCATAATCTTTTGTTTTTTTCTATCTCTTTTGTATTGTCCACTTGTACTTTGATTCGTCTCTCAATGAAATTTCCTGTTAAAAAAAAAAAAAAGAACAGAGAGATGATCATGACTGAAAGGATTCAAATCAGGTGTAGGATACTTTCAGTGAGCAGGGGTCGCCCTGGCTGAAACTATTAATGGGCTAAAGGATTAGCCCCTGGTCCAGCCCAAAATGACCTTCTATTTGATTGAGCTGGGTTTTACCCATTATTAGAAAAGAAATTACTGAAAGAAGTTTAAAAAAAAAAAGTGCCTCCATCTGAATTTCCTTTTTTTAAAATAATGTTCGGATCAATGCTAACATTTTTAAAAATTTTTTTTTTGGCCAACAACATTCTTTTACTTGTGAACAATTATTTATTATTTTTTTATCATATTTAGTTAAGAAATGAAATCTGAATTTATTTTTTGTCACATCATAGGGGTTTGTTTAAACAATTGACATCTGCGCATATTTCACCGCATTATTGTCACCGGTGTGAGCCCTAGGCGGTTAATTGATTCAAAATTTTAACTAAACTTAAAATATTGGATTGACAAAAAATCTCTCATAAAATCAATTTATTACACGAGATATATAAAGAAAAACAATTCTTTAAATTAAATTAATATTGATTTTAAAAAAAAAAAATATAATACACTGAAGCCGAAATGAGTAGATAGTAGATAGGATGGGGCCAAGGGGCTGATGAATATCCCAACACTAACCTATTATTACGTTTCCATTGTTGCCTGTTCATGATTCCCAAATGCGAATAATCTTCATTCTAACTTTGTGTTGAAATTGATGATGCTGCAGCACAATCCAAGTATTTATGACGCTTGTGAAATATGTTCCTCAGGTTAGAATCTGCTGGGAGTCCTGTTTATTGCTTTGCCTATAGAAGAAACAATTCATTGGAATTTTCACTTGTTTGGTTGATTTAACTATATACGCTACCTTGTGTCATGAACACAGGCAATCATGAACTTCAAGAGAAAAAGTACGGATGGCTTCAGCATTTCCAACATTATGCTTGATCTTTCTGGCGCCATAGCCAACTACGGACAGATGGTTGTGCAGTCCATAGATCAAGGTTTGTGAGTGATCTCATAATGTGTTTGTTTACATATTTTTAACATGTGCCGTGAATTAATTATTAATGTTGTCTGATTAATTTGCAGGTTCATGGAACAACTTCTATGGGAATATAGGAAAACTGTTGCTGTCTCTGGTATGCAAAATATAATGTCTATCTCCTACTTTTTGTCTGTAACACATTTACTTTTGACTTCTTTCTGAAGCACATGAATTGGTTTATTTGAAGGTGACTGTATTCTTTGACACGTTCTTCATCTGCCAACATTTCGTGTTATATCCTGCAAAGAAAACTTACAAATCGGTGGCTTTAGCGGAACCTGAGGATGACATCAAAGAGCATCTTGTGTCAGAGAATGTGTAAAGCATTGGTATACTTGAAAGATAATTGTTTGGGTGAAGGCCTGCACTCAAAATCTGGGATGGTTTTTTCACATTCCATACATACACATCAGCAGGATAGCCATCAATTAGAATGGTCTCCTCTTATTAATTGCTTTTGTATATTTTATGTTATATATGATTCCTTATGTATGTTGTGGATGCTGTATATATTATTCAAGCATGCATCATCCATATTGTATACGTTGCAGTGTTTGTATCATTAATGTATAATGATTTCAATTGCACATTGAGAGCTGCGTATAACATTCAAATATCAGATTTGTAATCAACAAATTGGCTAACTGGGAGGTTAAGATCTTCCTCCCAATATCAGCAAAGGTCAGGTTTAATTAGAGAGTCCGAAGACCTTGCTATCCCGGATGTATTAAACACTTGATCAATGTTAAGCACGTTTCTGAATTTCTATTAAGATTCAATTTTTATTTGTTTAAGGATAACTATAACTATAAAAATATATATTGATTTTTTTCCCCTATAAAAGCTGAAGGTCATGACTTCTCTCTTTGTTTTATAAGCTGAATAGAATTGAACAAAAATATGATAAATTTTAAGTTGATAATTAAAGTAAAATATATTACTGTAAATAGATAAAAGCTTTGAAAATAAAGAGAATAAAACAATTAGATTAAAAAGGATATTGTTAATTTTTTTTGTTTAATTATTTATTATTTAGGAATAATAAGCTTTAAATTGGTCAAAATTATGATAACCAAAGTAATGGTTCACTTATGCAAACTGTGACAAACTTATAAATACGTATATTCATATCAGTTCAACATATACTTATTGAAATTTAAATGTATTTATAGATTTATAGAAACACGTGTAATAAAACAAAACAAATACTCTTCCGGTTTTTAATATAAGACTCATTTAACTAATTTGATTAGATTAAAGAAGTTAGGTAAGTTAGTTAATTATAAGAAAAGTGATATACTTTTCCTAAAACAGCACAATCATCTTTCTTAATACCTTATTTTTCTCTTCTACTTGATTATGGTTAAGGGAGTATCTATAGAGGTAATTTAGAAAAATTAATAAATATGAGAAATGAGTCTTATATTTAGGACCAAAACCAAATCAAGAATTAGGTCATATATTAAGGATAGAGGAGTATTATTTTAAGAAAAACCTAGCTCGGGTCAGGATAGCTGCAGAGTCCATGGCCTATATATACAATGCACCCTGCTTCCATCTTTTTTTAATAAAAAAAATTAATCAAAATCAATGGAAAGGATATCGTTCAGCAGTTCCCCCCGTTAGAGAATGGCAGAATAATCAAACCAATTAATGCTCAATAAAGCGCAAGTGTGAATTTATACTGATCCAAGTTGGACAATAATGATTTGGTCCAAGGCTTCCTTGGCGCCCTTTTTTTATTTTTTGTTTCTAATAGCTCAGTCAGAGCCTCCAATGCTCTTTTGACTTGAAAAAGTGTATAATTGTACTACATTTTATCCCATGAATACAAATCCCACGTGAGACAAGTAAGAAAAATAATTAATAAAAAATCCCAATAATAACCTAAACAGTCTATAATAATAAGTTTCATAATAAAAAATTACAACTTCTGAAACTTGTTTAATAATTATTTTTCTTTCTTTAGATTTCATTTAATTCTTCCTAGAAGTATATAATTATATAAAATATATAATGATATGGTTTATAAAAAAAAGAAAAAAATTCCCCCCGTCTGTTACTAAAGCAGTGTGTGTGAGAATGTGTGTATATATGTGTGTGTATGTAAAGATTCGCTAATCATTTTATAGAAATACACACACACAAATATATAAAGAGTCCCCAAGGGCTGCTGACTGCTAAGAGCCGCCGGCTACGATGTCTGTAGCCTGCAGCCTGAGAATCCCAAAATAATTAAAACAAAAACAAGAGCGCAGGAAAATAAATGAAGCAGGTTGAATAGAATGTTACCAGAAAATTTGACACTTCAAATCATGCATGCCGGGTTCTGCCAGGGAATCTTTTGGTGTCGAATTTCCAAGTCTCGTCATCAAATTTTGGTGGGCGTTTATTTTCTTGAAAAAAAATCAATTTCATATAATTTTGTGCCATTGAAATAATCCAAAATGCAGGGCGGCTAACGTATTGTTTGAAGTTCATCTAACTTTCCAGCGCTTTCGTTTTGGTGGATAAGACGGAGACGAGCTGAAATCGTGTGTCGTCTTCATTCTTTACTGAGTGATCGATTAGAGCAACACCCATGTGTTTTTTTTTTTTTTTGAGCAAAGAGCAACACCCATGTGTTATAAACATGATAATAGCAACCAGCCATAGAAAGAATTAGTCTCTCAAATAAGATTATTCTCAACAAGGACGTGTGCCTAAGAGAACGATAATAGCAAGCGCAACTGAACGTGTTATAATGCTTTATACATTTTTTTCCATAAATATAAAGAGTCAAACTGCTTAGTCAAATTGAAAAGGCACGATGACATTTTAAAATATGGATGGCGATCATAACAATGACAAAGGATGGAGCCAGAGCAGCCCCGGGGAAACTAATGGGGTTTAACTAAAACAAAAAAACAGAAAAGAACTAAAGGGAAAGGGCCAAGGCCCTGGCTTTCATGCAGAAGCCGATGAGACAAGCATCGAGGAAAGTGTATATAACCTGGAAGAGAAGCCCTTCAAGTCAGAACTTAGTCCTTAACATTGGCTCCACCCACCACTACTGTATCTCCGAGAAGGGAAAGAACAGAGCGAGATATGGCTTCCTGGAATTCAGGTCCACTCGAACTCACGTACGAATTGTTGGGTTGGTTTGCTTTTTCTTGGTGGTCTATCAGTTTCTACCCTCAAGTCTTCTTAAACTGTCGCAGGAAAAGGTACCCACAACAAATTTCTTATCTTCTTCAACCTTGCATTTTCTCCACTAGCCATCACTAATTTCCATCCTTTTTCTTAGTGTTGTGGGGCTCAACTTTGATTTCGTGTTGTTGAATCTGACGAAGCACTCTTCCTATCTCATCTACAACGCCTCTATGTACTTCAGTTCAGCAGTTCAGAAGCAGTATTTTGAGGAATACGGTCATGGGGAGGTCCGTTCTACACTTTGACCCCCGTTCTGGAGAGAATCCATATTGAGTAATACTAATGCTATGTCTCATAAGGGACAGTGAAGCTCCTATACTTAATTATCATAGCTTACTTTATATTTGTATTTATGTGTCTTGATTTTAGATGATACCTGTAGCTGCAAATGATGTTGCTTTCTCAGCCCATGCGGTTCTGTTGACTGCAGTTACCTTGTTCCAAATTTTAATATACGAGGTAAGGAGTGGAATATTTATTGTTGCTTTTGCTTTTTTTGGTTAACTTCTGAATTTCCCTGAACGTTGTAACTTGTCCATGCAGCGTGGAACTCAGAAAATCTCCAAAGTTGCTATTGGGATTGTCTCAGTAGTATGGCTTACTGCTGCAGTTTGTTTCTGCGTAGCTGTGCCTAAACACTCCTGGCTCTGGCTTCTCTCTAAATTCAAGTATGTTGATTCTAATCCATGATTATTTGGCATCTGCGCTTTTATTCAGAAACCTCTTTTTTCATTTAGACGTGGCTTCTTTTTCCAAGTTCATGATTCCCAAATGTGAACAATCTTCATTCTAACTTTCTGTTGAAATTGATGATGTTGCAGCACAATCCAAGTATGTATGACACTTGTAAAGTATGTTCCTCAGGTTAGAATCTACTTGGAGCCCTGCTTATTGAGTTCCCTTTTAAGAAACAATTAACTGGAATCCGCGTTTGTTTGGTTTATGTAACTTCGATCCACCTTGTGTTATGATTCAGGCAATCATGAACTTCAAGAGAAAAAGTACGGAAGGCTTCTGCATTTCCAACATTATGCTTGATCTTTCTGGCGCCATAGCCAACTACGGACAGATGGTTGTGCAGTCCATGGATCAAGGTGTGTGAGTGATCTCATAACGAGCTTACATATTTCTAACATGCGCTGTGAATTAATTATTGATGTTGTCTGATTTAATTTGCAGGTTCATGGAACAACTTCTATGGGAATATAGGAAAACTGATGTTGTCTCTGGTATGCAAACTATAATGTCTATCTCCTACTTTTTTGTCTGTAACACATTTACTTTTGGCTTGTTTCTGAGGGATATGAATGGGTTTATTATTTGCAGGTGACTGTATTCTTTGACACATTCTTCATCTGTCAGCATTTCCTGTTATATCCTGCCAAGAAAACTGAGAAATCGCCGGTGGCTTTTGTGGAACCGGAGGATGAAATCAAAGAACATCTTTTGCCGTGTTCCGATGAACCACCAACGGCAGACAATGTGTAAAAGCATGCTATAGTTTTGAGAATTTTTTGGGGCGGCACTCAAAATCTGGGATTCTTTTATTTTTTAACATTTCATACGCCAGCAGGAGAACCATCAATTTTGGTGTCCTCTGTATATTTTTAAATTATGAATATATGATTCGATTCCTCATTGTTATCAAATGTTACAGTGTTTGTATTATAATGTATTCCTATATACCAGTTGAGGCAGCCAGGGAAAGTGGTGGTCCTACTTCATACACAACATTTTTTGCGGAGTATATATGTGATTCCTTTCTTTATCCACTTATTTATTCTCAAGGGTTGATACCTTTCAGACAATGACATGATCAATATCAATATCAACATCGCTAATATATTAACTCAAAATTCCACCCAAATTTATTAATATATAATAAACCTATCGTTTAATATCACTATTAACGTAACCTTATCTAATAATTAAGATTGATTTGCTGGTAAAAAAAAATTCATCTGTAATATTGGTATGAATATTTATTTATATACACACGTGTGATGTGTCACTGTCATGGGGACGGTCTTTGTCACCCTCAATAAGGCAAATAGTTTTTTCTGACCCCTTTTAGTACAACAATGGACAATTTAGAACTCATCAAGAGAATTAATATTATTAATAATTCATGAGGTGCTTTCACCCAAAAAAAAAATATAATTCATGAGGTGAACTTGAGGAGTTGGGTTGATTAGCAGGGGTTGAGTTTGGACTTTGGACTTGAACCAGTCAATCCAAATATCCAATCGGCGCGCAGATGTCGTGCCGTCTTGGGTTATCCGACCGCCCTGCATTTTCTTTTTTGCGGATGAGAAGACATATAAACGATCTGGACACTGTGCGCTATGTTATTAATTCTTTATTATGGAATATATTTTGATTTGATTAGAGTAATGTCAAGTCCATCATCGGTATTAAGGAAGAAAAGGCAAATCGCCCACGCAACGCAACCGCCGGTTGACTCTCTCCCCATTTTCCCTGAATATAATGCTTCATACATTTTGGTAAATAAGAAATTAAAAATGAAGAATGAGATTAGGTATCGAACAAATTTGTTTGACTGTCAGCCATTTTTTGGGGATGAAAATCAGGACTGTTGTTGATAAGGCATTAGATGGGATCAGCTGAAGAGAATGACTGAATCTACTGTCGCATCTCAAGTTAAAACAGCAAATTACTGTTTATATCAGAATGTTTATGTCCGACCTCCCTTAGTGGGAATCGTATCTCGTTGCTGGAAGGAATCACGGTGATTCGAATTCGCTCAGGGCTCGTGGTTTTTCTTGGTTTTGGAAGCGATACCGTTAAGGATAAAGTCAAACATAAAGAAAAAGACAGGCAAGCGGTGCACGTCAGCACGTGAGTCCTTAACTGGGTAGACGGAGAATTACATTCCCGACATTCTTTTGCTTCTTTTCCGGCGAAGGAGGGCGAAAGAGCAGCGCCTGATATGGCTTCTTGGAATTCAGGTCCGCTTGAAGTCGTTTACGAATTACTGGGCTGGTTCGCTTTCGCCTGCTGGTCTGTCAGTTTCTACCCTCAAGTTATTTTGAATCTTCGCCGCAAAAGGTAATTCTCCACAACTAACATACTTTCATGTTTGGTTCTTTTCTCAGCAGCCTTGCCTAAAGTTCTCTCTCTCTGTTTTTCTTCTGTGGTTGGTTTTATCAGTGTTGTGGGGCTTAACTTTGATTTCGCCTTGTTGAATCTGATGAAGCACTCTTCCTATCTGATCTACAACGCCTCCATGTACTTCAATTCCGCTGTTCAGAAGCAGTATTTTGAGAAATACGGCTATGGAGAGGTCCGTTCTATACTTTGATGCAAGTTCATGAATAGAGAATCTATATTAATAGTAACATCATATATGATGAGGGAAAGGTGGAACTCTTAATATTATACCCTACTTTTAGGATCCCGTGTGATACTGATGAACTACGTTTAGTCTTCACTATACTTGATGCTTGTCAGAAAAAATCAGCATTGGTTCCTGCATTTTTTGCCCCCTTCTTTTGTGGCCAGAGCGCTGGTTTCCTGTTTAATTTACGCGTAATCTTCTGACGAAACAGATCAGTCCCCTGTTATCATCTTTTCCTGTTTCCATTATGAGCAAATTCTGCTGACGTTTTGTAAGTGGGATTAGTTTTTAGTCAGATTTTTATGGAATTTTAAGCATAGCTGGTTGATATGTTCTTTTGGTATTTATAAATATTCCGATCATGACTACTTGGTCCTGTTTTGGGACGATGATTATAGTAGATGGGTGGAAAGTTTGGCATTACCTTCAATTTTGAGCGTTTCATCCGAATGTTGAAGTTGCTGCTACTTTTTATTTGCGTTGGAATGGTTGCATCAGGTTGATGAAACCTCGTATGCAAAGGATTGAACTGACGGTGACATTTTATAATTATTTCTCTTGATTTTAGATGATACCTGTGGCGGCAAATGACGTTGCTTTTTCAGCCCATGCTGTCCTGCTCACTGCAATCACCTTGTTCCAAGTTTTAATATATGAAGTAAGTAGTGGAATATTTATTTATGTTGTTTTTGTTTTGTTGGTTAAATTCGGAATTGCCCTGAACGTAGTAACTTGTCCATATAGCGTGGAACTCAGAAGGTCTCGAAAGTTGCTATTGGAATTGTCTCAGTGGTATTGCTTACCGCAGCAGTTTGTTTCTTCATGGCTTTGCCTACACACTCCTGGCTTTGGCTTATCTCCATCTTCAAGTATGTTCACTCTGCTTTCTGCTTATTTGCATATGTGTGCTTTTATGCAGAGAGATTACACTTCATTTTCTATTTTTACACACTTGACTCATAAGGTTATTATATGTCCAAAACATGAAGAAATCATAAAGTTATTATATTACTTGAGATGTATTCATAAAATCGTTGTAATACTCGCATCTGTGCGCTTTTATAATACTGGGCCAACAACCATGATGAAGATTCCTATATTGACTTGTTTTCAGCGTTCCATACTGATGACACCTATGGAAATTAGGTCCTTTTTAACTTTCTCCTAAAATTGATGATGTTGCAGCACAATCCAAGTATGCATGACAGTCATAAAATATGTTCCTCAGGTTAGAATTTATTTCTTGTTTTGTTGTTTCATTTTCCTTCCAGGAAGGATTTATTGTATTTTGTATTTTGTTTTTCACTTAGTTATCTATCCATCAGATGTTGATAAATTGTGTTATGAATGAATACAGGCAATCATGAACTTCATGAGAAAAAGCACGGACGGCTTCAGCATTGGTAACATTTTGCTTGATTTTTCTGGAGGCATATCAAACTATGGACAGATGGTTGTGCAGTCCATAGATCAAGGTCTGTGATCTCCTCTGATGACAAGTGATTGAAGGTTTAGATTTTAGGGTTTAGGGTGACTCTTTATATAAACATGTTGTGAATTAAATGTTTTATTATTTTCAGGTTCTTGGGTCAACTTTTATGGGAACATAGGAAAATTGTTGCTGTCTCTGGTATGGAAAAGTCTGAAACTTAGTATAACTCAGCAACAATGAAATTTTGTTTAGATTGAGGTAAACTGATTCTGAATAAAATTGAGGATTGCAGGTGAGTGTATCGTTTGACATATTTTTCATATGTCAACATTACGTGTTTTATCCTGCCCAGAAAGGTGTGAAATCAGTGGCCTCTGTGGAACCTGAGAATGAAATCAAAGAGCATCTTGTGCGGTGTTCTGATGAAGCAGCTGCAGCAGAGAATTTGTGAGGCGTCGTTTACTTCACATTTGATCGTGCATTCTTCCACAGATTGGGTAAAGAAATGGATGGCCTTTTACATTCCAGTCACCATCAGAATTATCCAGTTCAGTCTCCTAGTTAATCTTTTATAAATGCTGTGTATATGTAATCTGTTATTTTTCAAGAATGATCCCTGAGATTGCTTCTCTCATGAATGCTGTAATTTTCAAGCATCATCGCTATGATTCGATACTGTGTTTGTTAGCTTGCCGTTTTTGTTATACTCCTTTCATCCTTAATTATAATAAGAAACAACTACAAAAGAAAAAAAATCAGGCACTTTAAACTGTTAGTTAGGTTTAATTAAAAGCAATAAATATGTAAGATATGTATACATTTTTTAAATTATATTCTTATTTGTAAAGAGGGTATATGAGTGAAAATTTATTATAGAAATAAAAAGTGACGCATATTTAATAGAGGTAAAAATGAAAAGACTAATTTAAAATTTAAGATTAAGAAGATTTATTTATTATATTTAGGTATGTTGCTATGGGAGAGATTTTTTTTTCCAAAAAAAAAAGAGGAAGGAGGGAGTATTTGGTTGTGAATAAGGTGTAATTGTGATGCCTCATAGACAATACAATGACATCGTAAATATCAATATCATTGATATATATTAAATAAAAACTCTATCCTTGTTTAATTAAAATATAAGAATTCTCTATTACTTACAAAGCTTGAACAATGCAATTTATTATTTAAATTTTGTATATATAAGTCCCATGTCTAATTATACCTATCACATAAAAGAGGACGTCTAACACAAATTGCCATATGTAATACTTTCTTTCATTCTTATTATAAGGAGTTTGCTAAAAGTTCGTGATTGATGATATAAGGTGTGATGTCATATATGTTTTTATGACCAGACATTTTTATCTCTAAGCCTTCCCTTATAAGTTATGAAGAGGAGCGAAAAATGTTGATGAAGTAATACTACGTCCTGTCCTTAATATAAGATCTTATTTGATTTTTATTTTGATCTTAAATATAAGACCTCAATCCACATTGTCTTTCATATTTATATTTTTTTTTCAAAATGGTTTTTCTAATAATAATAGTTTTAACCAATACACTTGATTAGTAAGGATATTTTAGGAAAAACACTACCTATTTATTACAAATAACTAACTTAACTTCTTTTTTTAATCTCTTCAAATTAATCAACTAGTTCTTATAATTAGGACCGGAGGTAGTAATAATTATGTTTTTATTCTTTTACTTAATAGAAGAAAAATATAATACATTTGTATGAAAAAAGAAAAATAGAATACATAACAAGTTATTTTTAGATAATTTTAATTGAAAACAGTATAATAATTAATAATTTTAATTTATGGGCTATGGAATTATGTCTTCTTTCTGTATAAAGTTTTTACTTGGTGGGCACGCAGTATAGTCAAAGAGCACTAAATGAAACAAGCTCCTTGCTTCCCACGTTTCCTTTATCCTCCCCTGTGACTATATAAACCAACCCAAATCCCTCCTTTTTCTCTCGTCAGTTTTCTCAGGCCTTAGCTGTAGCGCCAGCGATGAAGAGAGAGGGTCGCCAACACGGAATGGTAAGGTCTTACCGGATCCTACCACTTCCTCTCAATCCCCGACCCAAAACCCGCTTCATCAATCGGCTAGAATCCCCTCCCACCGCCGGTCTGTTCACCAAAGTTCCCTCTAAACCCTCCAACCACTCCAAGTTCACCGGCAAGTGCTCCGTCCCCCGCTGCAATGCCTGCCACGTTACTCCCTCCTCCAAGTCCAGGGACAAGGCCAAAGGCACCCACAAGCTTAAATCCTCCGACGTCCTTTGGAACGCCCGCCGCGCCTCTTGGCGGGTCGTTGATGTCCGACCCGGTTTCCATCTCTCGGGGCTATCCGTGACTCAGATGTTGGATCATCTTTCTGTTGACGACTCCGAGGATGAAGGCGATGAGGAGGTCGCCGATGAAGATGCGGTGAGTCCCAAGGATTCCTACTTCTTTGCTGACCTGTTTCGTAGAAGTGATTGTGCCGAGAATAGCTGTGATGATGACGAAAATGGTTTCTGTGAGGGTGATTGGGTGAGAAATGAATATGATGATGCTTTGATTTCTGAGATGGGATTGCAGATGGAGCATTACGAGGTTGAAGAAGATGGAGATTGGTACTTCGTGGAATCTTATTCATGATTGATGATCAATCAAATACTTAATTGGTTACTTGAACTGCTCGATTCGAACATTTTGGAGGATAAGTGGATGGTCGGTGCTGTCTCTGACGTGTCGTCCTGGGCTTATCCACTTGGCATTTCTTTTGCTGGACAAGATTAAGACGTAAACAGGCCGATGAAATAGTGCGTTATGTTTGATTCTTTAGCCAAAATGATTACCTTACGTAATCACCTTTGTTATTAAAGTTAATGTAAAATCTGTATTATGAGTATAATGTAATTTCGCTTCATATAAATGACTCAGGACTCGTTTGGAACAATTTATAAACTATTTTTTTAATAATAATTTATGAAATACGAGATAAGTATATGAGAAGAATTTTGTCTGAAATTTTTACCGTTTTGTCAAATGGAACCTTAGTACTACCTCCGGTCCTTATTATAAGATCCCGTTTGACTTTTTGTTTGGTCTAATTATAAGACCCCAATCCATTTTGTCTCTCATATTTATACATTTTTTCCAAGATAATCCTTCTAATAATGATAGTTCTAGTCAATATACTTAATTAGCAAAGATATTTTAGGAATGACAACACTTATTTATTACAAATAACTAACTTAACTTACTTTCTTAATCTCTTCAAATAAGTCAACTGGGTCTTATAATTAGGATCGGAGGTAGTATTAAGTTATCCTCCCTCCTCTCCCTGTTTTTTTTATTTTCACCCAAGACATTATGAGTATATTTTTTTTGGGCATACTCTGCTTTCTGGCTTTCTGTGACTAGAGAAGCATAGTGGGAGAGAACTATCGGAAAGATTTGCTTGAATGCGAGATTTTCACTGAAGTTATATAAAAAGTTAATCTTTATCAATAAGCAAGACTTATAACATTATAATGATAATATTAATGCATATCGTTATATAATTATCTCTCATTATTTTCCTAGTATGTTTGAGTGTGATAGGAAACCACTTAATACTAGGATAGAATCTTTGCCCAAATTGACGTGTGCGCAAACTGATCACTTAAAGTATGATTAAATGTTCTCAATTATTAATTAATGCTAATCCACTCCATTTAAAAAAATTTAATCCAACATTTTATAAATATAATTAATTAAATATAGAGGGGCCAAACAGCCTTAATAAAATTAAGAATGTAGAAAGACCACCGAATACATGGCGGGACAACAAAAGAGACAGCCAGAGCCACAGGGAAACAAGTGGGGCGGAAAACCTATAGGGGAAGAATCGATGTTCAAATTACAGTGACCATACCGACAATAATTGAAGCCTAAGTAATAAAATGGAGAGTAACACCACATGAAGAGCGTCGATTTCAATAAGTTTCATTTACAATTTCGAGTTTTTTTTTTTTTTATAAAACACTGACCTCTCGGTAAGATCATTTTGTAGCATCTGTCGTTTTGGTTCCCGTGCTGAATATTTGGCGATGTATTCTCATTTTCTTTGTGGAATTTCCTCCATTGACGGCATTGTTTTTCGCTGAATCTTTCCGAGGCGGTAAAGGGGTCTGGATGGCTTTTCTTCCCTGTTTGGGTGATTCAACTTGTGTCAATATGCTCTGCAAGAAGAAATCACCCATGCTCTCAGATCAAATGCTTCGAATGGATCTTCATGAAGCAGAAGAAACTCTAAGCATTATTATAGCAGTGAACAGTTCAGAGGAATTTACCTTATGCCTTTCCTCCTTTGATTCTTTTCTTTCCTGATAAAACTCAGGCAGAGGTCGCGCTCTGAAACAGAAGCTTTCTCGTAGTTTCCTTATCTCTGTATTTGCTTTCTCCTGCATTAACGATTGTATATTACAAGTTTTACAGCCATATGATCACACTTTGCATTAGCTTCCCATGTGTCAATTTACCTTGAGCTTTGTATGCAGCTGTACTTTTTGTGCCTCACTGGCGTTGAACTTCTCTTCTAGTTTCTGAAATTGATCACACGTTTCAACACACAATAAATTAGCAGCTGGACATTAAGTTGGGCAAGAAATTGAGGAGGAAAACATGAATTGGGGTATTGCCTTCTTTCTTCTTTGAGCTCTTTCTTCCGTCCTCAAGCTGAATGGGGATGATATAACAGGGGATCTCATCTTTTTCCTGTTGTAATTTATTGAAGCATTTGACATTCAGTTATGAGATTTTTTTTTTTTTTGACCCAGCAGTTATGAGAATATTAAACCAGAAAGAAAGGAAGCATTTTCATAGGAGAGAATGTAGCTTACTCAGCAGAGAGCAGGTGCCATTTGGTGCTTGATTTTTTGCTACCTGAAGTTGATAAATCAATAGGGGTTTTGGTCCTATGAATTTTCAGAAAATTATATAGCTACGTCAATACATGATCAACTTAGATATAAAAAATTGAAAAGGGAGAAAAAAAGTGAGCGGCCAGTTTCATCATTTGAATCAACAATTTCTTTAAATAAGGTGCCTTTTATTCTCTATGAATGGGGTCCTTGAAGAATGCTTTTGACCCTCATTTTTAGAAGCCTGAAATTGGCAAAACAATTATGTTAGAATCCTCTAAAGCAATCGAGACTCTTAAAAAAATAGACATAGCAAGGAATCTAAGGTACCATAGTTGGGGTTCTTAAAGGAGTCGAGCTGCTATCCTCTGAAACCTTGGAAGAAGCAGCACCAACTCTTGCATTTTCAAATCTCTTCATGACTGATGCAGTCAACCTATTGAGTTCTCTGATGGGTGTAAAATTTGACATGTGAAGAGACTTAGGAGGCGATTTCTTCTTCTCAGGGGAGCCTAATGCAGGCTTCCTGGTAGCTGGGGTTGCAAAATTGTCCTTCTTGGAACAAACAGAAACTGCAGATTTCACAGGTGAGGAGGTGAACCTAGAAGTTTCAGTAGCCTTTAGCAACTTGGAGGAAGAAACAGGTGATTTCTTATCTCTCATCGATGACAAATTTTCCTTGTTAGATTTGTGCTGCAGCAAATTTTCCATTAGGTCAGAAAAGAGCTCATGTTCACGCCATTAGATAAAACAAGTAGGGACTATGTACCTTCAATATTGGTGTCTTTACTGGAGGTGTTCCACTAACTTTTTCACTCACTTCTCTCTGGTAATCAACATTTTGAAGCTGGCTCCGTGATTCAACCTTCACTGGCTTACCAACAAAAGGTTGGCCTTCTGTTTCACTCTTAGTCATACTTGGGTCTCTATTTGAGCCAAGAGTGTTTGCCCGGGAGTTTGGAATCTTAAAGTCTGGTTTTTCATTGACGACAAGTTTAACTTTCGGACTTGTCGTCTGCAAATTGGGATTGTTATCAGGTATTGGCTCATGTTCTTGCTGTGTGAAATTGTTGGAAGCAGCATTGTTTGCTTGTTGTTCAAGCAAAGCAGCCGCTCTTTGAGCAGCAAGTTTTTTGTAGTGAGCTTCGAAAAAAGCTTTCTTCTGTGCAACTGATCCAGGTCTTGAATACCTCTCCGCCTCTTCAACATAACGATTTTGAGAGAAAGAAGACCATTTCTCCCACGACAGTGACTCCGACATGAACCTCCCGAACGAGATTGACTGTCCAAGTGCATGAATTGGGTTGCTCTGTAACGCACAAGTTTCATGGAGTTTTCAAAGTGAACCTTCATGGGAGATAACAATGTCTAATTCTTGATCAATTGCACCAGCCAAAAATAAATCAACTAGTCAAACTTAATCACCTATATGTATGAAAACCGCAGAAAATTGCAATTCATCAAGCCATAAACTAGGCATTGACTTCAACTTTTTCTAACTGTGCGAGATAAATTTGGGATATTTATTAAGAAGTCCAGAATACATGTTCTGGGAGATAGGGTTGAATGCAGAAAAATAATTGTGCTTAGGTTGATGAACTGACCTGGTTGGCTTCATTGGAGACGCCAGAGGCATAGCAGAATGGCTGCATGAGACAGGCCGTGTCTCCCATGTTTCGTCGAAATCCACAAAAGATCCAAACTTCACTGTTGGGATCGGTAGTAATATTTCACTGCGGCCGTTCTTCGCATTTGTGTCCGATTCAAATTTGAAATTCAAATGAAAAAGGCTGTGGGGGGCTGTGAAGATCACCAACTTAATGTTGAAAAAAGAAGCATTACAGAGAAATCTTCTTTTGTTCCCAAAGTGGGGTCCGCCATCCATATCTGGAGGAGCCTCCCAATCTTTTTCTCCTTTGTTTAGGCCCCACGCTTTGAGGTTACCAAACCTTAGTCTTTAACGTCCATTGTCGGATGGTTTTTAGCTTGTAATTCAAAATCAAATCGTGCTCATTCTAGAAAGAGATTCTTTGTGATGCACGTTTGAAGCTAGAGAATAAATATCATATTATACGTTACAGAGGCTTTGATTAAGTACAAGAAGGAGGAGATTGTCGTTGAAGACTCCAAGTTGTAGAAGGTAATGTAAAAGGTTGAACAACCAGTGGTTGAAGCATCAAGGAGGCAAAATTACGAGGATGTTTGGTTTGGTAATTTGAAAGTGAAATGAACTCCATTTATTCAGGCCAAAAAAAAAAGAAGAAATGATCCCCATTTAGGTTCTCGCTCTATAAGAAAAAGGGGACAGGAAAAAAAACAAGCCAAAAACCTAAAACTGCAAGTTTAAACGTCCCAACGAAAACAATGTTCAAGTAAGATGGGTGTCCGTCCGTGTGCGGATTTATTTTGAATTTTTGATCAAGCGATGTGATGAATTATTATCATTATTTTGGTTGAGTCGAGAATGTTGACTATTGCTAGGAGTATCTAATCTTTTTATACTGTAAACTTTTCAAAGGGTTAGCTATAAAATCCTCCCCATATACAGCATCAAACCCCAGACTAGATGCTTAAAAAATTATTATTATTATTGGTGTTGTTGATCAAATAGCAATAATGGAAAACAATGTTCAAGTTAGAAGCGTGCCCTCAAATTTTTATTTTACTTGTTTTCTCTTTTTCTTAATTCCCCTTTTGCCAAGTATTTTAGGGGGAATGACAATTACTTTCATGGTTTTGTCCGCAACTCAAAAAAAAAGAAAAGAGAGGCTTTGTGACCACGCTTAAAAACCTTTTATAGAAGTCACAAATTATCAAATTCAACGAGTGAACTCATTATAATCAATATATTTAAATAAATTGAATGCCTACGTAATAAATTCAAACTGCAAAAGCAAACTACTCGGACGGAATTGCAAAAGACAAGGTCAATGGAGATCCCAACAAAATGATACAACCACCTAAACCCCCCCCCCCTCCCCATTACCCCTTGAATACGCTTAGCCTGGGCTTAGAAACTTTACCAACGTTCCTCGGAATAATGGAATTCCGTAGTTCGCCTGAAAACAGAGCCCCTGGGACATGGATACAACATATTTAACAGCAATAGCCCAGGTTTCCATCTCCGTGGCATTTTTCACTCACCATGTTACGCATACAATTACGAAGTGGCCTCCTATGATCAAAACGCCACAAAGATTTCAGTGCCTATGCGAATGCTTTCGGCTGACATAAGCAATCTCTTTCTTATCTCTGTAACTTCTTTGAAACCTCTGTAAAACAAAGGAAATGCCTCCCACAGCCGCCATAGCATAAATTGCTCCGTAAGGGACCAGCGCCAGACCGGAAAGATAGGACACGTATCCAGCTGCTGCATAGATAAAATATAGTCTCACTTTGCGGATGGGTACTCCGGTCAAGGATAAGAAGAAGGAATTGAACTCCGGCTTCGAGTTGCCAGCGCCATGGAGGATGATGCCAATGCAAAGAACAGAATCCAACAGCCTAGGGAAGCTCCAACCCAATCCTAGCCTCTGACACAATCAAATGCACATCATGAGGGTTAGACACCCCGAGTTAATTTAAAATTAAAGCGAGACAAGGAAACATATATAGAAATGTATACCTGCAACCAAGCTGCAAGAGATGGAGCAAACATTGTTGCAGCAACAAAATGCAATATCAACAAGCCATGGCGATGATGAAATAGATCTAACTGTGTGTCCCCAAAACTTTTTGATGAGTCTGGACTGTTGGCGCAGTCATCTCCTGAATGGAGTGTCCGATTAAAACTAGCATCGAATTTGAACTTAACTTGCTCAGGTCTATTGTAGTCTTCACTTTGACAATCATAACTTTCATTTTGCGCAGGGCTGCGGCATGAAGCTGTCAGGAAACTATTACAAAAATACAGTAAATTTAGGGATCACAAAGTCATATACATAGGCTAGATGAAGTTATAAGTATTGTCCATCACTAAAAAGGTGGGGTGAACATTTTTATGTTTGTTCATTACCATACAATGAAAAACCTGGTTTCCACTATATCTAAAACATTATCTACGGATGCTCTCTATTAAATGAAGTACAATCAGACTAAACAGAAAAGGATAATATTCTACATACCATTTCAAATTCCTAAACATCTTACAGACTTGATTCAACACAGGGTTACTGAGTAAAGTTTGAAAGATCAAGAGAATAAAACTCCAAAAGAAACCCTTTGCTTTCAATTAAACTGGGATACCTGCATAGAGCACTGTGACAGCAGACAGCATGAGAGAACAGAAGAATAACTAGACCCAAGGCTGGATGAACCAAGCATGCCAATATAATTGCAGCAAGTGTTGTAACAAGCACTGGATTGGCTCTCAGAACCCTAACCAACTGTTCAATGAGGTTATCAGAAAAAGATGCAATGATCAACATGCTGAAGTAGAGTGAAAAATAAAACAAAGGGCGGGGCATGAAGAGTGTCATAAGAAAAAACTAATAGCAAAAGCGCTTAGCCTCTTCTTTCCATAAGAGTGACAAACTGAAAACAACATTCAGAAATTATCTACTCTAATGCTGATAAGAAATCCAACCCCTTATGGGACATATTTCAGCTATCAATTACATGTATCATACTTTACCTTGAAAGAAGAGATGATGGATGAAAGATTAGTAAACCACTCAAGAAATATAAACCAAGCAGTTCGTTCCCACATTTGCCACCTGCATAATATTTACCCATGCCATTTATAATCAAAAGTGAAGCAAAATGTTCAGCAAGCTTAATTGTTATGCATATGATACAAGAATAAGTCTAGATATTCACAGGAAAAATATTCCAAAGAGATGGATGGCCATAAATTTAAGGCCAATATTCACGATATTAGAAGAAAAATTATGAGCAAAATCTATAGAGCAAAAGTACATGCACGAACTGCTTTGAACCAGAGAACAACCACCCACTCAGTACTCAAATGTGTGTAGCATCTGACACGAGTATATTCAAGCAAAATGACACAACTACAAATCTCTATTAAAGCAGCCTACTTTCAATTCCGAGATAGCATACAAGGAATTTCATCAGTTAAATGTGAAAATTAAGTATAAAAATATTTGTTAGGGAAAAACGTGCAAGACAATTACTTTCGTAGGAGTTATGAAACCTATTCTTGGACCTTTGCTTAACAATATCCTATGGGATAAGAGCTTCATTAAAACTGATTTAGAACATAACATCTTTTTCAAGTAAAAACACTCAACCTATGATCATGATCCATATAGATTTCATAAGAATTTACAAAAGACTCGAATTTGCATGCTGCGGAATTTCATTCCTTCATTAGTTATAACTTTTTCCATTGATATTTCAATACATTGCCATGATTGCATTTCCATAACCTTAGCTAATTTAAGCATTTTATTTAATACTCCTCCGGTCCTTAATATAAGACCTATTTAACTAATTTGATTAGATTAAAAAAGTTAGTTAAGTTAGTTAATTATAAGAACTATGACATGTTTTTCCTAAAATACCATAATCATTTTTCTTAATATCCTCCCTTCCTCATTCATTTGATTATAGTTAAGTTAGTATCCATAAGAGTAATTTAGGAAAAATTGATAAATATGAGAAATAGGTCTTATATTTAAAACCAAAATTAACTTAATAATTAGGTCTTATACTAAGGACCGGAGAAGTACTTAATAATACTACAGGATAAGAAATAAGGATCTTCAATAGTAAAGGAAAAGAAAATAAACTATTTTCACCCAGAGAAATAGGGTCTGAAGTACATTATCTAACTCCTAAACTTCATCGACTACAATATAATCTATTTAACATTTACTTTTGGTTCACTAGTAAGTTTGTTCTAATCACTTAACTTCGCTGATTTGCTAAAGAAACTTTGAAGGGAGGGAAGACAAGAGTGCATCATCTGGAGATGGTTTAAGCATGTTGAATAAGGAGATGCAAATGCTCAGGCGTAGAACTGTGAAAGTTCAGGTAATAAAATTTGGGAGCAACAAATTTGACGAGTCTCCCCAAACTTTACAATTCCAAGGTATATGGTGAGCATAAATGATTAGGAATAGTGAAACAAGCCATGTTCACTAATTTGAAACAGAAACCAAAAGCCATTCACAATAATGACGACATCACATAAACCAATGACACTTGAGGACGGAACAATCAGCATATACTAACCTTGTCTTGATGAATATGTGCGAAACAGCACCCACGAAGAATAGCAAGTGAGACACCAAAATCAGAATAGCTATGAGCCCATTTGCGAAAACATAACAAATCAGAGAGATGCTGATGAAGCTAGCAAAGGGAGGAATTGGCTGAGACATCACTAACGAAAGGAACAAGGAAATGAAAATGGGTAGGATGGCTTGGAAGAAAAAATGTGACAGCACTGTCAAATTGGATTCCACAGCTGTGAGCATTGAAGGTATCCGCAGATCAAGATCCCATGCATATGCCTGCCGCATTAGGGCAAAGAAAATGATGGCAATGGAGAAACCAACTATCTGCATCAACATCATTTCTCATAAGCATGATTATTCATATTTCCATTACGAAACTAGGTAAACACATCCAGTTTGCACGGGATGTAAGTTCTAAAGATAGCATGTAATTAAATTTTTTTTTTTAAACCAAAAAAAAGTGCAGCACATAGTTTAAGAAAATTAGTAGAACAAGAATTTGTCCGTGCAATTCATGGCTTAGACAAAAATTTGATGCAAAAAATAATGAACAAAAATTAAATGAAACAAAAGCCAAACATACATCGACATGTATCAAATTCTTCGTGTTATCAAAAATCAACTAAACAGCCTTAGAGGGGTCTTAACTTTGTTCAATCTTTCAAAGAGCAAAGTTATTTTTTAAGATATCAACTGAGTCTATATCCCACAGCAATCTTAAAGAGCATCTAAAACTAAGAGTAAATTTTCCTTCAGCCTCTCTTCAAATTTATGTTTGTATAGATATTGACTATTCAAATTAATTAGCACCAGAATATGAAAAGGAAGAGAGATATTATGATAGAACGAAATAAGCAAAATCAAGTATGTCGGCAGTGGTACCACACTGATGAAAAGAACAATGTACTATAGTCAATATTAAAAAATCAAAATCACTAAAGTCGAGAGCTTAGATTCACAAACAAACAAAGAAATGCCAATAGAATGAGAAAATATGAGAAAATATGTTCAGAGCAACATCAATGTTGGAAGTCTGAATTGATAAATACATCAACAACAGGCATGCAGAAAGCTGACCTCTGGATTATACAATAGGATAAACCTGCTAGCAGCAGCACTGATGGAAATGGCAATACTACTTTTATAAGAACAATGCGGATCAACCTTCAGAACAGTGGAAGGAAAAAGCATAAGGAATGTTTATCATAATTGCTGCTGAAATATTAATAACAGAATTTGGTAGTTTGTTGTCCCCTCATGAATTATGAAACATGACCAGTAACTTCTTCCTCCCCTCCCCCCCCATAACGGGAAGTTAAAAAATCATCCCATCACTTCATGTATTAGGAAATTTTACCAGCAAAAGAACAACGGTTCTCTCAGAGTGCCTCGTTGAACCCCAATGTGCTGGTGAGGAATCAACCATAATTGTCTCAGTGTTCAAATTTGGATACATATGAAGACCACCAGTGTCATCATAAGCGAGTGCAACAGGTGGAAAACAACGGAGTTTGCAGAGCCCTGAAACAGCCAGCTAGAGTCATCTCAGCTGATCGTAAAATAAATATGGCAGCAAAACCACATGAGAGCAACACTCAATCACAATAGCGTTAAATGCAAATGAAATAATTAAAAAAAAAAAGAAGAATCCCACTTCTCAAAGTCAACGATGGATTATAACTTTTGGTTACATCATGTAAACCTAGGAGATGCCAATAAAGGGAGACTAAGATCAATGCCCATTCCAATTTCTAACTTCTCTTATTCCTTTCCTCCTTTATTTCTCCCCTCTTCGACAGTATGTTGGCAGTGCATCACAATTGATTCTCTTCACTACCGTGGGAGGACCTTGGAGCATCATATATTATTAACACCCTCCCCAGTAATTGAGAATAAGATGAGATGAGAACTTAAGATTAAAAGATCATGCACAACGCTCAAAGCAGGAAGATTTTGATTAGAAGCCAGGCACAGCATGTATTTTGAATTACTTCGGTAGCTCAATTGCTGAAGGAAATTATGCTAAGGCCCAGGTCAAAGATAAGGAAAACATGCCGAGGCCTAGGTAAGATCAATGCCAAAAGTGAATATATCAAAGATTGTGCAGCATGCTTTATACAAATAAGCAGATCAAGAATGGGAAGCAAAACACCAAACAATTGGCCTAGCTGTTTTGGTGGAGTAGATTCCTTACTACTACTTTCAAGGTCCCCAGCTTCCTCTTCTGGAAGCCCAGAGTTATCTATTCCACAGGTGGCAGTTTTCAAATACAGAGTAACAGGAAGAAGACCCAAGCTGGTCGAAAATGACAACCGAACAGCAAGAGGATGAGCTTCCTCCAACACCATCTCCTGCAAAATATGTGCACATTGTCAGCTCTGATGCTATTGAAATTAATCTTGTCCACTTTCAATAATTTAAAATTACGTTTTTGACTGAACTCTAACCTGGTAATAAAGCAAGACTGTGATTATTCATTAAATTCTCATTTAGTTTTTCAGCTTTATTCATTTTGGGTTGAACACCTTAGAATGATTTAGTAAGCCCTTGATGAAATCGTTTCCTGAGCTAAGCTGCATGTGATAAAGAACTAGAGGCTTAATCTAGACTTAGCACAGTTGAGTTAATATCCCTCCAACTTGATTGTTGGAACAGTTGCTTATATAACAAAACTGAGCCTTGCGATTATAAAAACTCAGAAATACACTAATACTAGTATGTGTATTTTTTAAAAAAAAAAAACAGTAAACAAAATTGCTTAAAGTATAGAAGTCAGCCAATGAATCATGAAATAACAACCTTTTGAGAATAGGTAGATTGAAGCATCAACCATGGAGATATCTCTAGCTTCCCTTCTTCTGGATTAAAGAACTGCCCAACAGCCATAGATGCTGCAGGTGGTGGTCTGCCTGAAATGGTCTGATCAATCATTGTCAAGACACATGTACATATTTGAGACTCACACTCTACAACACAAACCACACAAGAAATAGTCCAATTTTGAAATTATAAGCATACCGGACGAGGTGCAACTGATATTGTAAGGAATCTAAAGCTACGCATATCTTCAGGCCCCAACCAAAACACAGAAGATGGTGGAGGTTGCTCAGTCTGACTGCCAGGTTCCATCTGCACAGTAAATTTGAAATTATAACTAACTACATTAAATAAATTAAATTGCTACTTCAGCTTGTCTCTGAATGCAAGACATTGTGATCCATCAAACTAAGTACTATACAGTTTATCCAAATAAGAAGAAATTCCCATCTAGGAAAAAGCATAACATACCTGTCGTGGTGGTGGACCTGAGGGAATGCGCATCATCTTTGATGTGACTTCAACAACCCTTCCACTGAGAGGCAAAGTTGAAGAAGATTTATCCTTTTCTGGCCACAGATGAAGTCTAATCCCAGAACAAGGCTCCAGGTTGGTCACAAACACAAAATGACTTCTTCCATTTGACCCCTACACAAAAGGGAACAAATGTGTTACAGCATTTTTATTTCTAACACTTATTGCATAACTGTTTATTAACAATACAAGAGTCATGTTGACCATAACTAAATTTCATATCTACCATACACAAAATCTGACAAATCATCTCAAACTCACAAAATTATAAAAGCTAGAGTGACCACAAAACATCTTAAAAGTTTAAACAGTTTCATTCACACAACATACAATAAACTAAAATGATCAGAAAGTTGGAGGCCTGATCAGCAATTCTTTTGTTCATCAATTTCAGAGAACAGAAAAAAATGTATGAAAGCAGGCTTCTTTCAGGAGATTTACTAGCCTTAGAATTATTACTAAGATTAAAAGTGCCTGAAATTGTAAGGAAAGCAAAAGGACCGGTAGAAAGAATCACAGCAACTTGATGCATTTTGCTATTCCACATGATTTTAGATAATATCAGGCAAAACATATTGTTCTACAAAATTTTAGATATTAGGGGGGGGGGAGAAGAGAAAAATACCAATTTTTGTATGTCCAACCACCGCCTTCGACCATCCATTGCTAAGACAGTCACCACATTTGTCTGAATGTATAGGTCTCTTTCAAGGCTATCATCACTCCATTGAATATTGGGAGGACATGTAGCTGAATGCACTTGAGATCCTGCAACAAGAAGATACCTAGAACATAAAATTTGCACCGAGGAAGTAGCTTATAAGTCAAATGAAGGATCTGCGTCAAAGATTAAGATTGATGAAATTTGAAAGAACTTAATAGAAATCAGCCATGCAGTGAGAATACAATATATCTTGGAAGGAATCTAATATTAGAAAACATGCATACATACTTCACAATTCCCTGAATAACTAAGAAAATATGGTGAACATTTGCAAGAAGTATATTCCAACCTACACTTTACATCTGAAAAGGCGTGGAGTAATGTCAAGCTAAGTTCTTATCACTGATTATACGACTCCAGAAACCTCATATATCAACTATTCAGCTGAGGTAGCCATCACAACCCAAAAAGGAAAATGAAAAAGATCCCAAATTAGAAAGTTAAGTTTCAGTAGAGTTACAGGCAGAATAATACCAGTGGAATCTTTTGTACTGTGGGCAGGAGTACTTATTGAATGTTTAGAAGGCAACTGCATCATCCTGTTGAAATTATGTGAGATTCCACTACGTAACATTCTTGAAAAAACTGCAAGTCTCTTTTCAGTATCTGGAAAAGGGTGGCCTGTTTTGGAGTCTATTAAACTAAGAAGAGTGTGTGATACCTAGAGAAGAATAAGATAATCAGGACAAGCTCTATGAATATTTTGAGTCTTTGCTTTTGCATAAGAGAAAACCACTTACTTGGATAACAACTTGATTGCACCATAAAATAGCCTGGTGCTCCATGGACAACCACACATTTCTCATAGATGTACTACTGACCATGAATCCATGAGTTGGGGGCACAATATTATCAAGTGATGTTAATTTAGACCGCACCTGTACGGAGGAAAAAAACATGAAAGCACACTAAATCAAGGTTTATATCAAGCAGTTACGTAAACATTGAAAATATGAATAAAAGGCACTCAAATAACATGGAAATGGTTCAACTCTACTTCCTGTAGATTGTACAATAGTCAGTCTGAGCTTCCATAGTGTGATCCCGAAAGAGTAATTTCCGACACAAAACCAAGCTTAGGTAGAGTACGTATACCTCCACAAAATTGAAGTGCAACGATCTCTTTAAATTATATGAGATCCCGTTTTCAAAGTCAAAGGTCTCACATTAACTCAAGAAACAAGGTCCAGTTGAGATTTCCTCTCAACCACGACCACAAAGTACTGATTATGCAGATCAAGTCAACTGTCAAGTTGAACTAGGGTGAAATGAAACGTGTGATAATCTTGTGTAAATGCAGACACATAAGGCATCCTTCTCTATTAAACATCACAGTAAATACTGGCATTCATGAAGAATAAAACATGATCTATACCTGGTAATCATTATATGCACCAGAGATAGATACAACAATAACATGAGAGAGCACAGGATCAGATACATAACGCCCTGTGTTAGTAGTATGAACTTTATATCCCTCTCTCCATTCCTGATTTACACGTTGAAAGTAATAACCCAAGGAAGGCTGCAATGCCAAAGGAGGTGATCTGAATAAAACAGATACATTCCATCATTTAAGTATCATATACAACAAGAATAACTGAAATTATAACAGTGATGAAATTTACTGATGTGGTGTTGAGAGGGTAAGAATAGTTTCAACTGCTGATTTCCTAAGACGAGGGTGGATAACTGCAGCTCTAGCAACAAAACCTCCCATGGAGTGACCAACTAATATCACACTTTTTGGTAAACTCCCAGGAGCTGTGGCACCTCTTGTTCGAGCATCATAAGGCAGTTTATATTGATCCAATATCTGCAAGTAAGGAATAAAATACCAGCCAAAGAATAGTAAAGTTAAATAGCCACACAAGTCCAGAGGTAGAACTAGCTGAGGAAAAATTGACAGTAAAGTACAAGCCTATAAAGTCTAATCTGATCAGCTTCAAAACAGAAGAATGCTGTTTGAAGGATCAAAACAGCCTGGGCATGTATTCCTTGAAACGGATAAGTTGCCTAGAAATTATATGAATGAATTAAGTTTAGAGGCACAGGATAGGTCATAAGGTACAGTTGCATAATCAGGATTTAACCGCACTCCAAAAGGATCATAGTTCCTTTAATTTCAATAAAAATGGCATTCAGTTATGAGTACGCCAATGTTCTTGGGGGGGGGGGGTTATGGGAACAGTCTCAACAATCTAATCAAATGGAAAAGAAAAGGCTCAGTTCCGGAGGGGAAGGCATCTACAAACTGCAGATCAAATAATCTACAAGCTATTCCCAAGATGATGAAAACATGCTCGAAACATAATAAACCATCATCTATAGACTGCAAATCAAAACATCTGCAGCCTCAGCATATTTATCTGCCATTTATCAGCTTCCCTTGGGATGTAATATAAAAATGATAAGTGATACCTTGTGAATGGCATATACAACATATTCAGCGTGTTCTTCAAGGATTCCACCATCCATCGCAGAATGTTCACCTTCAAGGTCCACAGCAAACCAGTCTAGCCTGCTAGTATACTGATTAGGCAAGTGAAATTCAGAGAAATTCATATGTGCTCCTCCTTCCTCAGAGCTTAGGGAAGCTTCTTGGTAAAATGAATGCTCAAGGGGACCACTCTGATATGCCCTGTCAGATTCTGCTGCCAAAGATCGTACCTGTTATGTGGACAAAAGCAGGAGAAGATGTTGATGAGCATAAATCTGAACAGCAACATTGCCCCTAGAGTATTAAGAACAAAAGTAAAATGTTTGCATGGATATGAACAACTAAAGAAACAACTGAATCCCACCCTCACCCCCAACTTTTTTGCCTCTTCCCCTTGTTAGCAAATGTTTCGTTCTTTAAGAATGAATTGAGTATCAACTAACTTGAGGCAACCTTCAGGATTGAACAGTTGGATAGCAGTGCAGATTTTATTCTGCATGTTATCATATTACCACATAATCAAATCAAGGTAGTAAATCTCTTTCGAATTTATCCAACATACTCCCAAAGTTTAAAAACTTCTGCCCCTCAAATTTATAAATGCATCTTTAGATCACTAGATGTAAGCAAATTAGCCAATAATTTCCTGCTTTTTGGCTAAGTATTAGTATAATACAGCCATGAACACCAAGTGCTGCTGTTTCTCCTTGACATGTAGGAATGTTCTACCAACAACTGAATCAATAACTGCCAAACGAACTTCAACTACACTCAAACAAGAAGAAAGAGGACCTTGCCTGTTTGTAGCTACCACCATTGCCTGGGATAAAAAGCACCGGAACACCGCTGAGCTTCTTGAGATGCTCCTTAAAATCTATCTTTTTCCAACCCTCGTGATATAAGTATAATCCATATTTCACTGGCGCAATGCTTTCAGATGAAGAGATAGGAATGTATGTAGGATACATGTACGTCATGATACATCCATTTGAAATGGGTTTTACGACACCATATAAAGCCACAAGAGAAATCCCTATCACGAGGATGATAAGAAGTGCGACTCTAATTTTTGCTTTGAAACCAGGCATTGTTGAATTATACTTCTGCTTCAAGGACTTCAGCACACAATCCTCCACGTATACCAAGATTTTCCCCCTCCACGAACCAACCGTAGCAAACTTATTTTAAGTTCAACTGCAGCAAACTCTGAAAGAGAGGACAGATGCAACAAAAAACAGAAGTCTTATAAAAGGAAGCTTCATTGAAATGCCGGTTAAAACAAGCTGCCGGTTTCGCGAACACGTAATGAAAGTTCATAAACAAAGACAAACACATTGGAAACATCTATTTCTAAAACTACAACAGCGCTTAAGATTTTAGTTTAATTATTCTTCCAACTTAGGATCCAAATCTCGCACACGTACTGATTCGATCGAACAAGTTAGGAGAGCGGATCAAAAGTAATTTACAGAGAATGCAAAGCCATAAACACTAAACTGGCTTTCGGTCAACTGAAACACTAAACTGAAAGCAAAAAATTCAGCGTGCGGATCTGAAACACGTCGCAGGTCTCAGTCAGGCACCGGCGCCATCGACACTGAAGACAGGCTAGAAGCTGAATAGAGAGAGAGCAAAAAATGCCAGAGCTTACCAAGAGGAAAGCGGCGGGAGGAGTAAGATGATAAGGAGAAGAGAAGAAGCATGAACTACGGGGCGGGGGGGGGGGGAGATGAATGAAGCTAAACTTTACTCTTTTTGGTGTACAAGGATGTTAAACTTTTTGTTGATGCTCTAAACTCTCTCAGGGGTGGGAGTCTGAAGCCGAAAGGACCATGCCTCATCGTACGACAGACCGAAGAACGGAGCCTTAACTTCCATTCTATACGAAGTCAGCGCATGGAAATCGATTTGAGAAAAATAGGTGTTTGGGTTTACTTAAAATGTTTTTAAAAAATATTTTTTTATAAATCGAGATAAATTCCTGCATATATTTATTTCGTACAGTGTGGAATCACTTTCAAAATCATAGTTTGGTTTTTATCCAAACACCTTCTAATTCATGTGACATTAAGGTGGTTAAAAAATTTCCCAGTTGAATATATAATTAAACTCTCTTCTGTTGAATTCATACAGAAATCAGCGAGCTCGATTTGGGATAATAAAATACAGATCTGACTGAGCTTGTTATAATAATTTAATCATGATTTATGTGAAAAGAGTTTTGTAAACAACTAGTTTTGGGAACCCCAAACAACCGTAAACTTACCATTTGTTTCGTGTTTAAATTCACTTTTGACAGCTTGGAGGACTCATAATTGGCTGGCGGGACACTGGGGCGGTAGATCCTGTAATTAATAATAGTTCCCGATTAGGGGGTACTGAAAACAAATTAAGTGAACGTTTAGCCGCCGTTAGAGTGTAACGGGAGAAGGGGGTGAGGCCGGCAGGCGAAAGTGAGATGATGCAATAAATGATCCCCAAATTAATATAGATGATCAGATGTGTTTATTTTTTTTGAGTAAAAACGAAGAAATTCAATTAATGTAAAGTCAGTACAAAGCAGGGAAAGTAACGAACATTTACAAAAGAAGTCTGAAGGTAGTATAGCTCTGTACAGTATGGTTAACTGTTGCTCTAATGTGAGTCAAAATCCTTTCTATAGTATAGGATTCGTTCAGATGTGTTTATTTTGGAAGCAACCAAATAAAAGGGCGGTTGAATGGAAATATTAACCACCGTCGCTGGGTCACGTAAGGGCGTCCCTCGCGACCGTCTCATTCCGCTTGTTGATTGTCATTACAAAAAATAATATTATTAAGAACTGTCTTTTTTGCATTTTAAATGGGCAGTAACTTTTAGAAAAATTCATATCCGTCCGATAAATCAGAACCTTTTGATAAGGTCGTGATCCGTAGCTTTAATAATGTTTTGTCTTAGAAGACAAATCTAAAGACATGTCTTATTACATAAACCTAAAGTTTGATTTATACTTTGCAATAGCATAGTTGATGCTCCTGCTTTCAAGTGCAACTTGTGTGGTGGCATCACAAACAAAGCATGAGATAATATTTAAGAACGCTGTGTTTTATTGTGACTTTGTGATTATACTGGTAGTTCTTTTTTTTTTTGTTCAAACATAAAATATAAAATTCCAATCATATATGAATAGCTAGCACCACCTCTAGTTTTTAATATGGAAGTCAATTGACTAATTTCGAAAGATAAAAGAAACTAAAAAAATTACTTGATTATAGCATATATATTACATAAATATTTCCGAAATATTTAGGTATATCATGAGATTATATATGAATTTACAAATAAGACAAATTAATTCAAAAAATAATAAATATAAATAATTAAAGTAATTTTTAATCTCTAAAAATTAATCAACGAAATTTTATATTAAAAAACAGATATAAAATCAATTATCAAAGTATGCATATAGTAACATAGTAATAGAGACCTATCTATTATGACTTTAATATTAAAAAAAATTAATTTTTTTGCCAACGATACCAAAACAAAATTAATTGCTCAGAATGAGATTAGGTATTATAAGTGATTACCCAACGATAATCCACACATCCATTGAATTTGTAGAATCTATTCCAAAAATCTCTCGCTTGAATAAGTGTCTGGCTTGAATACCAATAATAATTAAGTAGTTTATACGGCGCGTCAATTAGATTATCATTAAATTAGAGAGAAAGAGATGATAATGTATGCTCCCTTACTATTTGGGGTGGGAATTGCACGAAAATATTTCCGCGATTATTTGTCCACCTTTGATCCACTGAGAGGAGAAGAATGAGAGGTCAAAGTTAAGGTTTAGTGAAATTATCTGGTCTAGTGAACAATAAAATAGTAATGGGAAGTAAGAATAACCATTTTTTTTTTTAACATTTTGGAGGCAAAATTATATTATTTAATATTTTAATATGCTGATGCACCTTTAAGATATCATGCACAACTTAACTCTAATTGACTCTAAAAATGATTGAAGACGTCGTGTATATAGAAATTTTCTCACATAAATTATTATTTTATCATAACATCGCGTCTGTCTTGTCAAATTAAGCTATTTCTACCCACCAATACCCCGACGGGTTGATGTTTTTTCTATGGTCATGATGGGTAGGTGGTTGACGACCAGGGAAAACAGAGGAACTCTCTTCAATCCTTAGAGGGTTAAGATGTGTTCAGCACTCCGAACTATTTACCCAGGTGCGTCTAGTGGTCTAAAGTAATTTTAGGTGCATCCAGTGTCTTAAACTAATTAAAATAGTGCGTCTATATCTCAGACTAACAGAAATGTTATGTTTAACTGTTATTTTCCTGACTCAACGTAAAGTTGACCCCAAATATTTTAAACGACAGACATATGGACATTTGATGTGTATTATTTTCATTCAAAATTGAATTTATTTTCTTCATCTTCTTCTAAATAAATTGACTTTTGAGTAAGAATAATACATATCGGGTGCCTATGTGTCTGCCATGTAGAATATCTGGGGTTAACTTTAAGTTGAGTCAGGAAAGTAACAGTTAAACATAACATTTCTGTTAATCTGGGATATGAACACACCATTTTAATTAGTTTAGGACAATAGATGCACCCAAAATTACTTTAGGCCACTGAACGCACCTGAGTAAATAATTTGGGGTGCTAGACGCACCTTAACCCATCCTTAAAACAATCAAATATTTGCCAAGTCAAAATGTCAAATCCCTGCACAAACGTACCACGACTTCATCTAATACGTGTAGCCGGCGAGATTATCAGTCCGAAGAATGGATGAATATCGTATTCTGCCCAAATCAGATTCAGAACTGTTACCAAAAAAAATAAACCCTTCCACTAAAGATATAAATTTCAAACAAAAAGGGTTGAATTCCAGCAACCTGAAATATTTTCTTAGATGCATCCAGTATCTTAAAATGTTTTGTAGTGTATCCAGTACGTTGAAATATTTTTTTAGGTACATTCAGTACCGTAAAATATTTTTTGATGTATCTAACATTTCAAAGTATTTTTTTAAGTGCGTTTAGCATCCAAAAATATTTTTTGATGCGTCCAGTATCAAAACAAAAAAAATACTTCAAGGTGCTAGGTGTCCTTAAAAAATATTTCAAAATACTGAATATATCACAAAATACTTTAGGGTGCTGGGTTATCTTAACTGAACCAACAAAATGAGAAGTAAACTTCCCGAATTCACGTATATTTTATTCTGATCTTTAGATCGATGATCATTCTGATTAGAAATTACATTCATAATATAAATATAACACTGGTCAAACATATCTGGTCCATGCATGAATCATTACTTCAATGCTTCGGGAATTCAAAGGCAGATCATGGCCGCAAAATTGTCGAGCTTATTGTGCGCACAACAAGGAGCTCAAAAGCTTGAAGCAGAGTAAGTGAAAAATTGAGCAGTTTATAAGGAAGGAGGAATCCATTTATAACCATGTGTTGCAACATAACCAGCTCTATTCAGCAACTCATCTGCTTCTGCAGGACCTCTGCTTCCTGGCTTGTAAGGAATTGGTTTCAACTCTCCCTCATCAATTCTATGCAGAAGTGGAGTGAAGATTTTCCAAGACGCCTGTTTAACACAAAAGTACAACCCTCAAGGTTGGTCATTCGCATCTTACTGTGTCAGGAGTGTGATGAACTCACCTTCAACTCATCTCTTCGAACGAAATGTTGCTGGTCGCCTCTAATTCTGCAGAAGAAAGAAATCCAATCCCGATTATGGTTTAGCCCAGGTCTATAACATTTAAACAACTTATTGCTATGTATTGCAGTCAAATTGTTCTCTACTCCTTGCCACAATGAGGAAACCAGCGACATGAATTGGGAAAAACAGAGATCTTACGTGTCGAGAATCAGACGCTCATAAGCTTCTGGGATGGCCACCCCTTGATAGCGCTGCCTATATGACAAGTCCAGCTCACTTTGCTCTGTCGACATCTCTAATCCAGGTTTCTTGACCTGCACGAGATACTTAACCAGTAAGTCCATTTGCACACCAAGTTCATGGGAATTTGTTTCACTATTTCTTATGTCCAGAACTTAAAATGATTTGTCACAGGGCCCTTCAATAGTTCGTCTCCACAGATGATTTGCATTAAGAACATAATTATTTTATTAATTTATTTAATTTGACCAATTTTTTGACTTTAATTATTAGTTGTGACACCAAATGATGTCGAGCTGCCCCAGCAGAGGCAGGCGCGCGCGCGCGCCCACACACAAAAGGAACTGTAAGAAGTAATGAGGTCAAAACAGTGGCATTATCAGTTATCAGAGTAACTCACGTACCGTAAGCTTCATGTAAATAGCTTCTGAAGGTTGCAGGCGTACAACCAACTCATTTCTCCCCGGATTTTTACCTATGCAAGTATGACTTTATAGTAAGGTTTATGTATATACAGCCGCTAGAAGGCATCACTAACCAAGAGGTGAAGGAAACAATAACTTGTATCAATGTCATTTGTTGGAGATACCCTTTTTTCTTTTTAAATTTATATCACCTTCATCTCTCTTTTCTTTTCACACTAAATATTCTGTGTAACAAATGGGCCATTGAAAGAGAAATTTTCTATTCATGTTTAAAACATGAGAACAAGGAATAATTTATGCACTGATGATAGTAAACAAAAGCCAAACGCAATTTCTCATTTCTCATTTTAGTCACGCTTACGGTCGAAGCAGGGTGCAGACAACTAAAGACGCATGACAAAAGCATATTAAAAGAGGATTCATATCTAAACATATGGTTCCATACACTTGAAAATGTCACCAGGAACATCCTTGAACTGAA